CTATGTTAATCCTTTTTAAAGACATGATCCCGATATGGAATTGAAAACGAAATTTTTTGGCTGTCTGTCTGGTGAAATCGCCATGATCATTTTGGATATCTTGGAACTGATAGTTGAGGTGAGCAAACGATACTACTTTGAATTAAATTCATAAAGAAATTACCTTGTCATACTGCATGTAGTTCAAACCTCACTACTGTAGCAAATATCACAGGGTTTCTCTATAGCTGCTAAGGCTTCCTCCTGTGGCATCACTTGTCAGGAGAAATTAGCCTTGTTAACGCCATGCGACCAGACCTTGTTCCGCCATTGTGCGGAAAATAGACGGAAAAAAGAGAGGGAGTGAATTTAGTGAAGTAGAAATATACTGCGTTTGTTTACGAGTGCTATCTACTTCACAAAATCTCTCTTTTATGTGTTGTCATCCTTTGTTGTTGCGCGGTTTTCCACACAAAAATGGCGGACAATGCCTCTGGTCGCATGACGTGAAAAATGCTGATTATGATTTGCCCTTCTTAGGAGTTTTAACTGATCTGAAAGCTCTCCAGTAGAGATAATGTTATTATGTTATTTAGGCAGCCTTAAAATACATAGCGAGTGACCACATTATTTTTCAGACATGCAAATGCAGTAATATAATTGTTGGTCATTCAAGTGGTTTGCTACTAAAATGTGTCCAAATTGTATGATTGTTTGTAAAGGAATGTATTTTTTATTTCAGACTTCAATTTCATCGGATCATTCTCATACCATTCTCACTGGTGTACTGAAGGTGCTACTTCATTGTCTTAATTGTTCTCAAAGTGAACGTGTTTTGCAGAGTATGTTCCCAACACAGCGTTCAATCGTCGCCAAGGTTAGTGTATGTCATTTGCAGAGCGGGCTTGGATGTTTGAGGCAACCTTTGTACCTGAAAGTTATGAAGAAACTGAATACTTAATTACGGTTTGAAAACCTTGGAAAGTTTGCTAGTCATATCGCGCCTCACAGATAGCGAGACGTCCGCGTATCCCCCTCCCCTGTCTTCTCCCGCATCAAATTGTGGAATTATGAAATTGCTTTTCAATGTAAAAAGGATCTAAAGAAAAATATAATTATTGGCTAAGTTATGCCCTCTTTCTTCCTCGCTTTTAGCCCCTCCCCCTCTTATATAGTCGTATATAGTAATTGCTCTATATGCACCCTTATTGAAAAAATATCTTGTTCTCATTTTCTAGTATCCTGAACTATTATTTGAAGATGATACAGAACTCATATCCGACCTGTGTTCTCGTTTACTTAATCACTGCAGCTCATCGTTAGCTAGCATCCGAACTCAAGCAAGTGCCTCGTTGTATTTACTCATGAGACAGAATTACCAAATTGGAAATGTAAGTTCACATGATGCATTCAAGTTGCGTGCAAAGATATTTGACATCATTATATGTGCTTTATTATCCCCGATCAAACAGGCCTAGGGCTTCCGGCAATGGTTGCGGGCAATAGGATCCGGTCGACTATTTACACCGGGGTGAATGAAAGCAATCTGTGTTACTATGTAGTAATTCAATTTTAACGTTACACGTATACCCGAAATTATATTTTAGGCACCTGTACTATACACATGACTGACTTTTGATTGACGAACTTCAAAAAAAGTTTGTTTAAAAAAAATTCTTCTGGAAAACCTTTTCACTGCCAAAGGCGACTTTAATCTCCCACAGGCGACATAAAGCAAGCTGTAACCAAATAATCAAAATTTTACTTTGTTCATGGATACAAAACAATAATAGAAAAAAATGGTGTTATTTTTGGCACTTTCTTTTTGCAGAATTTTTCTCGTGTGAAAATGCAAGTGACTTTGTCGCTGTCATCCCTTGTTGGAACTCCCCAGGTAGGATTTATTGAGTGTAAATAATCGTTTATAAAGCTTAGCGTTTTTATCTGCATAGTGTTTCAATCTGAATGGTACACAAGTAATAGTAACTATTTCATTTGAATAGAGTTGTTATAATGAGCTTTAATATATTATATCTTTTTTTAAATTACGTTTTAGTATGTGAATGGTGAACATCTAAAACGATCATTGAAGACCATCATAACCTACGCTGAAACCGATCATGAACTAAAGAACACCAATTTTCCAGAACAGGTATAGAAAATTCTCATTCAGTTCAGTTTTCACACAGCTATAATTATTAATAGGCATTTCGATGTCTGCTCTAATTAGCGTTGAAAATTGGGATTTGGAACTGACACCCTGTGTAACGCAATCACGGTACCACGAATAACGAAGATTCTTGTTGGTATAGCTACTGTTTAATGTCTCCTGTTTGAACTAATGTTGTTTTGATATTCTTTGAAGGTTCGTGAACTAGTGTTTAACCTGCACATGATTCTAACTAATACAGTCAAGATGCACGAGTTCCATGAGGTATGTTATTTCACTGGAATACATCTACATGTATGATCCTTACTGCGGAAATAGCATGTACTCTTGTGTGGGTAACAGTCTTAAAATCTAATTTCCACATTAATTGCCTTTCTGATACTATGCACGATCAGAAGTTTCACAGTAAAATTACCACGTCGCTGAGTATTGCATGGCCTCGTAGGCTCAGTCGGCAAAAAATTTGGCGTGCTTTTCTTGTCTTGCTTTACTGCTCTACTTGCAACAAAATAAGACTTAAATTGTACGTTTAAAATGTTCTTCATTAATCCTGAGTCACTGATATTGTTTTGTGCCTTTACTGTAGTCTTTTATTAACCTTAAAATTCTATCAATAAATTGAAACAGTGGCGAAGCCAGCCCGACAATTTGGTCATGCGATGCAAATATTTCCGTGTTCGTAGACTGTAAAAACAATCAATTTCTAAATTTGCATAGCATCACCAAATTGTCGGGCTGGCTTCGCTACTGAATTGAAAACTTTGTTAGCTGTATCTTGAAATAATTTCGTAGTTTGTCTCGTTAATATTCAGTGCACATCATCATGTACAATCTACGCATGCTCTGTTAAGATGAACACGAAGGGTAATGAGTATATGATGTGAAATGTTTGGTGGATTAAATTATGAAATTCAAGGGCTAAGATCTACTAATTTGAGCACATACTACTTTCATTAGCCGGAGATTAAAATGTCTATATAGAAAAGCCTCCTAGGTGTGCTGAGCCAAGACGAAATCGATCTTGACGAGTTGACCAAACTGAAGATTTCATCTGACAAGTAATCAAAACATAGATTAATTTGAAATTGAGGATTGAAATATTTTATTGCTAAGGAGAAGTTTTTCTTTTCCTACAGGCGTTGAAATGAATCCCTTAAAACATAATTTCCAAAGTAGAGATTTCAAGTATTGTGCTGTTTTTCATTTCGTGGTAGCATTATTATTTTGCATTATGTGTGAATTTTGAAGCATTTCTTTCGACGGCTAGAAATAGCGATCCTCTGTATATAAAAACGATGTCCAGAAATTTACTAAGTTTGCTATTCTTGCTAAACAATCTTAATCTGACTTGAATAGGATCCTGAAATGTTGATTGATCTAATGTACAGAATTGCCAAGGGGTAAGTCGTCAGCCTGCATGATTGATTCTATACCGTTAAGCTTTTTCCGGGATGATAAGTTGCGGAACTTCTTCATGACCATCAAATCTGGTTTTGTTCGCTACCCTTGCTTTCTATATTATGGTGTCCCTACTGTAATGGCGTTTAACTGCAACAGAGGATGAAACCAACCCTGATGAACTTCTAATTCGCGAAAGTCGTTTCATTTCTATTCTTAACGAAAATTTTGTTCATAATCCTTGTCATTGTCATTTTACATATTGTTAGTTTTGAAAAGTAACACGTTTTGAAAAGTTAAGCCCCAATAAAAATGTTTAATGCTTACTTCTCTACCTTGACCGTTAACTGTCACTCTTCTAAATCTTCAGGTATCAAACTTCACCAGATCTGCGTCTTACATGGCTACAAAATATGGCTGCTCATCACACGAAGGTATAACTTTCAGCACCTGTATATGCATGCTTTTCAAGCTAACCCCTAACTGATCTATTATATAATAATATTAAATAAGAAAGGGTGAGTATAGTCGTGTTTACACTACCAGCCTTGGCCTGGCCTTGGCCCACATTTTGACAGTGTAAACAGACTTTGGCCTAGCCTTGGCCTGACCTAGGCCAGGAAATCTGGGCCCACTACAACCGGTGGCCTAGGCCTGGGCTTGTGGAAATGTAAACACTTTCGGCTCTGGCCTGGGCCTTATTTTCATTGCAACGTGTGCCCACAGTGAGAAATTAGCGGACAACCAGCGGACAACGTCACAGCACATAAAAATACAGAAAATTAATTGCAAAATTCTAGGCCAAAGTGAGCCAGTCTCAAAAAATTTTAGTTTAAGTTCTGCCTGCAAATTATAGGGATGGGAAAAAATATTTTACTTTCTGGGACCGCAACAGGTTCATTGAAAAGTTTTCTGCAAATAATCAAGTGAATCGACACTCGGACACTGTGTTTGAAACTAACAAGTTGTCAGATTGAATCTTATATTTTAACAGAAAAATCAATTTCAGTGCACTGAAAATCTTAATACTTTTAGGAATATAACAAAAAACTAATTTAGATAACATGCATCGAGGGGTCTGACCCATTGAAATGAATATAGGTTTAAGGTAAATACAGATGCAAAAAAAGGACACCACCAGGGGGATCCATGCTCTGCCTAAATTTACTTAAAATGCATTTGCCATACAACATTTGTTACATCATTAATTCTCTAGCCTATAGATTTATACACTATTACGCTATTAAGTAAGATGGATGCACTTATAATTGCATTTCCCAAGGCATACCTATACAAGTACAGGTAATATCTTTTCTATTGGTTAGAATCTTTATCTTACAATTATCTTTTTTTCTTTCTTGGGGAAATATTTTTGGTAAAACCAATGGTTCCGTGGTCCGATACTTTTTCCACCCCTGCTGCACAAAAGTAAATCGTATTTCACAAATAGAATAATAATAACAGTAGCTTTATTTACCAGGATACCCACATCACATACGTCGTGTTCATCAGTGGAGTTTTGGATAAATAATACAAACATTTACAATATTTAAACAGTATAAAAATAGAGAAATATTTGCATCCACTGTACAACAATGATAAAAACGAACAATTAATTCAATAAATCATTAAACAGTGCTAATTTGGCCTGTATAAGTGTGAAACATGCCTCGAACATTGTTCCGAAACCAGTCCAAAAGTACATCAGGAATGTGGGATATGAGAATTTTCGGGTATCGGTATACTGGAAAAACTATACCGATATTATCGGTATATCGGTTTTTCGCCTTTTAAATTAGATAGGAAAATTCCTTACTGGAGATTTGAAGGAAATTTTGAGTTTGAATAATTTGTAAAGTGGAAACACGGTTTATGATCATTTCGAAGCTGTTTCGAAGGAATTTGAGGTAGACAGACATTGTTTTTAACACGAAATGTCTACTTCTTTTACTTTGCATTTGAGTAAAACAAAAATTGATGATTTCGCCATATGCATGGTGTGTAAATTTGATACGGTCTACCAAAAAATTACGATATATGGGAAATTTCGACATATCGATATGACTGAAAAACTCATACCAATATTGGTTTCAATACCGATATTTTCGGTATATCGGTATACCGAACATTAAGTTTGAACATTGTAATTTGTATTTTCAGTTAACCAATCACCTGGAGGCAGCCATGTGTGTGATACACGCAGCAGCGTTGGTTGCAGAATATTTATACTTACTGGAAGATCAACCTCATCTTCCTATTGGCTGTGTTAGCTTTGAGAAGATTTCTCCAAATGTTCTTGAAGAAAGTGCAATATCTGATGATATATTAGCTCCCGTAAGTACTGACGTAAAATACGCAGTCAAGTACCACAAAGGTATCTTTTGTAAACTCAAAGTACCGTATGATATAGTTGCCACATATTGACATCAGAAAATGTTGTTTTGGTACTTTAGAAAATGTTTAATACTTTCCTTCAGAACTAAAAACTGTATCAACGTTTTACGGACACTTGAAAGTCGCTTTAGTGGACGCATGGTTGCGGTGCACCTGCACGCGCGTGCATGATTCCGTATTTGTTATCAATAGGAGGGCCGTATGCCAATGTCCTGGGCATATTGTGTATAGTTAAATGGGGCATTTTTGAGACCCACATGAAATTGTTATATTCTGCACTGGTGTGAAATATTTTCGCTGTCCAACAGCACACAAAAACAGTTATAGAAATTCTGCATATGCTTATGTAGGCGAGAATATCAACAACTTTGTTCATGGTTGTTATGAACAACAGGTGTTTTCGGCAATTTATATGGACTTGAAGTTCTCCGTGAAGTGCTATTTATTTGTGGATTTGCACGCCACGAATATTCATTCAGTGTTGATATGGATGAGTTTAGTTTTTTCAATTGAAGGGAAAATGTACTAACTCTAAGAGGCATTTTTTTTATGTCGCGTATTTGCGATGAAAATCGTTCAAAAACCTAAAATGTTTTGGCGTACCTCTCAAAATCACTTTGCTATAGCTTTATTTTCTCGTTTATGTCGTTAGCTACCTTTTGAAATGCATCTGCCGGTCGAGAAACATAAAATACTAGTTTAAAAATTGTCAATTAAAAATACAATTATCAATGATTCTTTCAAATTGACGCCCTAGCGTCGGTTGTTCGAAGCTGGATTAGCGCTGGGTTGAAATTTAATCTGCTGTTTTGGTTTGTGTTTTTCTGCACGTCTGTTTATTTCAAAAGTTCAGAAAATAAAACTGCCGTTGATCCAGACAAGATTGCTGGGAAAATATTCCATGTTTATGAACAAGCTTTTGGGAAGATTGTTTGAAGATTTTGTTAACCCATGCGGGATTAACATAACTGGCTCTTGAATAATCGGCCCGAGTTAGCATATTAATTTATACAGCAAATTAATTTTTAAAAAATTACTAAACTTCGTGTATTATACGTCATTTTCTCTTTGGCGTATACCGACTAAAATCGCTTCATTTTTGCATTATTTTTTAGATAATGCTCTAAATATACTTTTTAAGATTGTTTCCTGATTGAGAAATGTATAAAATATTAAACATGATTTTTCTGTGTTGGTGTAATGTACTCAGGTGAATATGATGCTTGTGATGTTACTCTGAGTGTATATCAACACCGGACAAGCTTGATATACACTCAGAGTAACATCACAAGCATCATATTCACCTGAGTACATTACACCAACACAGAAAAAATCATGATTACTAGATTACATTGATATCGAAGGAACTAGATTCTGTTCCGAAATATCACATACTCGAACCAATCTGACCGCGTAGCTCAGTTGGCAGAGCATTGGGCTAGTGTTCCAAAGGTCGTAGGTTCGATTCCCACCGTGGTCAGGCATATTTTTCAAGCTTGCCCGGTGTGGATATACACTCAGAGTAACATCACAAGCATCAAATATTAAACATTTAGAACGTATTCATAGGCAAATACACTTTAATTTTGAGCACGTGTTCTGTAATGTACAAAGAATCTTCTTTAAATTAATTGCAGTCTGCAGTCTTGGCACTACAACTAATGATTTGTTTGCTGTTCTTAGGATCAAGAAGGAATCTGTACTGGAAAGTATTTCTCAGAGAATGGATTGCTAGGTCTCTTGGAACAAGCTGCTGCTGGATTTAGCTTGGCTCACACGTATGAATGTGTGAACGAAGTTTATAAAATTTCTCTTCCAATTTACGAGACTGCTCGAAATTTCAAAAAGCTTTATGAACTGCATATGAAATTATCGGGTGCTTTTGATAATATTATAAAAAATGTAAGTGCAAAATGGTGGTGATCACACAGCGCTAGGATTTAATGCCGCACGGTACATGTATAGGTTATAGTCAAATAGTCAAATAGTATGATGAAGTTGATATACCGCAGTGCGACAATTGTGATATACTGTGTAGTAGAATAGGATGCAGTACCGGTTGTACGATGGATGGATAGCGCTATCCACCGGATAAGTGACTTTTGCAACCTTTAAAAATACCTGAAAAGCTGTACAACAACGGATATGGGCCTCGCAGTTGACAAAAAGAAATTTATTTAAGTTTATAAATCCGGGTTACACCAATTATGGCCAATTTTTGAAAACTTGAAAAACTACTATCCGCTAGATAGAACTAGCGGCCCTCGTAGGTCAGGGCACCAGTACAATAGGATACAATTCATTGCATATCAGTGGAGTGTTGTGCAATTCAGCACACCACAGTACACCGCTATACAAAGTAGCACATTACAGTACACTGCACAACGAAGTATTGTGTAGTACAGTACCGTACAGTACAGTACAGTACAGTACAGTACAGTACAGTACAGTACAGTACAGTACAGTACAGTACAGTAAAGTACAGTGTTTTGAAGTATATTGTAATGCAGGATAATAGAGTACAATACAGGACAGTTCATTGTAGTCAGTGCAGTACAGTGTACAGTAGTTGGTTGCATTTCGGTACAGTGCAGTACAATGCAGTGTACCCATAGTGCATTACGTGTCATTTACCACGTTGCAGTGGAGAACAGTTTAGCACAATACAGTAGGCTATATTGTTCAAAACTGCGTCAACGATAAAGTTTAAGGCATTTTGGAAGAACTGAAGCATGCTTGCGTTTGTCCATTTCTCCACTAACATTCTCCAATGTCTATTTCAATATTTAGGAAGGAAAGAGGATGATGGGTACCTACTTTCGAGTTGGTTTCTTTGGCGAAAAATTTGGTGATTTAGATGGTGAAGAGTTCATCTATAAGGAACCTGCAATTACTAAACTGCCCGAAATTTCTCTCCGATTACAGGTATAGTGTTACGAAACGGCGTTAGGGCCTTTCATACCCTTTTGAGCAAAGGTACTACGGGTATTTTGTGATTATTTCCTCACCTTTGTATTTGGTCATGATGCTTTACTTGGCAAGACAGAGTTACTGCTATGCAAATTACTGCTGAGGCCATTGTTGATTTATAGCTCATGACGAAATTTATCTGTGCAAAGATGAAAAGGGTGATTTGAAACATTGCTACCGATGACGACGAAGGATCATATTTTTGCAAAAACCTCGACAATAACTTTAGATAATTAGTTTTGTTGTGCTTGCATCGAGTCTCCAAACTATGTCTTTTAGTAACTAACAACGCTAGTCTATGCATGTTTTCTATAATCTTTATGTAACACGCAATGTTGAATTTTCTTATTGTAACCTTGTTTAATCGTTTAGTCATTCTATAAAGATCGTTTTGGTGAAGATTTTGTGGAAGTGATCAAGGATTCAAACACAGTAGACACATCAAAACTAGATCCTGAGATGGCTTTCATTCAAATCACTTATGTGGAACCATACTTTGCTGAATATGAAATGAAGGATCGAAGGACGTACTTTGACAGACATTACAATATACGTACGTATCGTTATACCCACTCTTGTAATACATTCAAATGGGCACAACGATTAATTACATGCCATTGGCAAAATAATGGAATAAATCACGTTCCACGCTGTTCAATACACCCTTCCGGAAAGTACGTCACTTTGTCTATAGAGCCTCGTTTTCGTGTACGTGGCATTGGTTAAAGCCTAACGTGGCAATCAAGAAATCAAGGCTCTATAGCCAAGATGACGTACTTTCCGGAAGCGTGTATTACTATTTTTAATCAGAAGCTAAATTTAACTTATTGCACTATCTTATTAACTCTCTGACAAACGTTGGACTTCAGAGAGTTTCAACTGCGTAGAATATCTACTATTTGCTCAAAATTTGAAAACTTTACTGGAGTAAAAATTTATCATCGACAGTTGTATAATCAAGTGCTTCATCTTTCTTCCCATAGGTCGATTTGTCTTTGCAACACCATTTACACCATCAGGTCAAGCTCATGCCGACAGTTTGGTGAATCAATATAAGCGGAAAACAATCCTAACTGTATCTCATGCTTTTCCATATTTAAAGACAAGGGTGAATGTCATTGACAAGGAAGAGGTATGTTTTCAAATGCCACAGCAGGTATTTTTGGATGCTTCACGCAGCAGAATGTATTGTCTAAAAGCCATACCAGTCGACCTTTTGTTGCGGAGAGGAATTTTGGTATTGGCATTATCTAATTATTTCTAAAACATAGTTGTGGTGCAATATTTTATCGGTATAGAACTGGCTGAGTTAGCACCCAGTATAAGTATAGGTAACCATGCGATGGCGAGTACAATTAGGGATGAATAGTATGAGTGATGTTTGAAAATTTTGCCAAAATTGCCGGTCGAGCCGCCGGGGCGATTCCAATTTGGCAAATTTCCAAACATTAATCCCTAATTGTACGAGCAACATCGCATGATTACTTGTTTATTTTTAGCATGACAAAACTGGATTCTTCTTAATGTCAACATCATATTCTCTCGCCAAAGCCCAGTCCTGCCAGACTTTCAACCAAAATTTGGTGCTTTTGTTCGTATTTTCATTTATTTCTTTTGCTTTAAGTTCCTCTAGGGCAATTTCATTTGTGTTTAAATACCTTTCCGCCATTTTGTTTGTTTTGGGAAACTCATTAACTGTACTGCAGCACAATTAATGAAATAATTGGACTCCTCTCAACCAATCAGCATCCAGTAATTTTGTCATGCTAATAATAAACAATGTTAACAGTATAAACGGTTCTGATCACTTGAATATATAATGTGGCCACTTTATATACAAAGGGTTATCCTGCTGCAAACACCCCTGAATTATTTGTCATAAATTTTCTGGGCAGATCACGTTGACCCCTATCCAAGTAGCAATTGAAGATATCCAAAAGAAGACCAAAGAACTAAAGTCCGCTGTTTTACAAGAACCTCCTGATAAGAAAATTCTCCAGATGGTTTTGCAAGGCTGTGTTGGAACTGCTGTTAACCAGGTTAGAACCAGTTTGTGAAGGTTTTTGGTTTGTCAAACTTGTATGCGAGCTCAGCTTGACGAGATGACAATTGTAAAACATGGCTCGTACGCCCCTTGGAAATCGTGGAAAACCCAGGGGTTGTCTTAGTCCAAGAAACTTCTTGAAAAGTCTTGGAATGCTGAATTTGCGTGTAAGATACTTATACCTGGTTTCCATATATGGTCGTAAAGATTGAGTCACGATCTTTCTCATCAGCCGAAATACAACATTTTAGAACTGAAAATACGCGGAGTAATTACAACTAGAGAATACTTATGATTTATATGTGGTTTACAGGTATAAACTATATTATAAACTGGCCGTTGAGAAAGATCGTGACTCTATTTTTACGACCATACGACCTTATGGAAACCAGGCTTTAGAGGATTAAACATTCTGTTTCAAAACGATTTTACGACAAAATTTGTAAATCGATTGCATATAGCATGTTGATCTTTTTCGATGGTGATATTACTTAATTTTAGTGATATTTTTGGTGAAAAACCAGTCGACTTATTTGCAAAATTACTTTTGTCGTATTTCAAAATATATACCCTGGAAAACGAGAGGAAAAAGTGGTTGAAAATCCTGGATTTTTAGAATTATGAAGATGTACGAACGCTGATAAATAGGAAGTGCTGCTAGTAAAGTATATTGTATTCCTATACATTACCGGTTGTACGATGCCTGTGTATTGTTGGAAGGCGGTGGATAAGTCAGAATTACCAGATAAGTCCCGAAGGCGGCAGATAAGTCATATAGGTCCCACATACAGCATCCTCCGAATGAGTGAACAAATCCCATGCATAACAAACACATATAATTGCATAGTGTTACCTGTTCTCAACGGTGATGGTAAAATGAAGTCCATTCAAAATTATTTCCTCCTTGTTCCGAATCATCCTTGTTCCTAGAGCTTCTCGGCTGCGGGCTGCCTGTGAAGTTCTTGGGGACGAAGATGGTTCCAAAGGAGGATGGGACCGAATGTGTCTGGTTTGACGCCCAGTACTCTGGCCATGCACTGATATACAGATATACGCTCCGTTAAGGCATTCAGAGTACATATGTTGAACATGTACGCCTAGCTTTTCGGACACAATAGTTTGATGATGGAGGTTAAACCAGTCAGGAATGGTAGTATTACTTGAATGCAGGTCAAATTTATAGTCTTCTGTTAAGTAAGGGAGATTGGGTTCGTCATTGACTTTTTTTCTAGCAAGGGATGTGACTGTTGGGTGTGACGTGAAACTCTTGAGTTCTCCGGCACTTCTCCGTCTCCCTAATCCTGTAAACTGCATGCTTTTTATTTATTAAAGTGCGACTAACCGCAAATATAATGTTTGGTATGTGTAATATTTGGGTCATTCTAAGAAGAAATGTAATATATCTTTATAGTAAAAATCCTCATCTTGATCAACTTTTTCACTGTCAAAGTTTACGAATATGATGTCATTAGGTGAATTTAAAATTTTTGGTACAAAAACCAAAGGAAAACTAATTCGCTATTCACCTGATGACATCATATCCGCAAACTTTGGCAGTGAAAAAGTTGATCAAAATGGGATTTTTTATTATAAAGATATATAACATTTCGTCTTCGAATGACCCAAATATCACAGATACCAAAAATCGTATTTGTGGTTAGTCGAACTTTAAACAATTACGCATTCCTGTTAAAATGTGTCATCCTTGTCTAGCTGCTCATTTCTTATGTCGACTACCGCACACAGGACAAACCCCATCTTGGATGAGATGTAATTGTATTATTTTACAATTTATTATTTCTATCAATCTCTTTCAGGGTCCACTGGCAATGGCCGTAGCATTCTTGTCCGATTTCCATCACGACAATGATAGTAATAAAGATAAGCATTTGAATATCAGCCGCGACCATCATAAGTTACGCCTGTGCTTTAAAGCATTTGTGAAATGGTAGGTTTGCATCAATTTCATGAACTACTTAATTAAAATTTTTACGCTTTCGAAACGTCATCTGGACACTACCTATTTAGTTTATATAGACATTATAAATTATTAGAGGGGGCATTTCGCAGGGGGGGATAAATCGAGTCAAACGAAAGGGGCAAATTTAAACTTGCCAGTTGGGGCCAATTCATGTGCAAAAATGATTTATCTTTAATTCAAGTGTTAAATCCTGGTTTTATCGACAGTCCTGACTGTATTACTTTTACTTGTTGGGAAAATTGAGTGTCGTTTCCTTTCATGAAAATGGCAAAAATTGCAACGTACCGAAAAGCAACGAAGCAAATTTGGCCTTTCAATACAAAAAAAAGTTTTGGAACAGTAACAATGTTTTAAAAGTTTTTCTTGATTTTTAGCTTTTAGTCTTTGCTTTATCTACGTTAGATAACTGGAAAAAAACGATGTTTTTATAGATGTAATATTTTCTTCGCTGTACGTTTTTTTATAATCTTTATGATTTAATCATCACTCTACCCTTCTTTCTGTGTTTATTCTTGTCAATGGTTATAATATCGCATGATTGTTGTTGTCGTAGGAATTGACTGTCTTGTACATATATGAACACCTATTTATTCCCTTTACTCGCTATATGCGTGCCAGACAGAGCACATGCATTTCAACAGATCTAGAACTAGAAATTCACACTTGGGTTAACTGCAATTTCTAGCTGTGGCGAGGCACTGAAAAAGAACAAAGAGTTGATAACAGAAGAGCAAATCCCATATCAAAAAGAACTCCGAAGAAATTACAAAGCTTTACAAGAACAACTCAATCCTTTGTTGAAGAACAGATTTGGTACATTACGAGGCTCTATGGGAATGAGAAAAAAGTAAGTATATTGAGCAGCTACTGTGAACATGATAAATTGACCCATATACCTTCTTTTCTGGCATCAACCCATTATATATATATATATATATATATATATATATATATATATATATATATATATATATATATATATATATATATATATATATATATATATATATACATATATATATATATATATATACATGGATTTGTGGTTAATGCTCAACAACTGGACTTTGTATAGCTCAGTTGGTTAGAGCGTGGCCAGTTTCGCAACTGAAAGAATTTTTTTGGGGAGGAAGGGTTGTATATTGCATGATTCCATACCAAATCCATTTTCTTTTGTTTGTGGTTAATAGGGAATCAGTAGCTTTACGGAAGATATCAATGGGACTCCCACTACAAGGCGTGTCAAAAGCCTGAGCAAGACGAGGTTTGCGGTATGCTACGTTAACCAACAAATTTGTGTAAAACAATTTATGCACTTGTGTTTCGTTCTTTGGCAAAGTGGCTAGAATGCCGGAACTGTGACCGTAGTACGGTTCTTCTCCAGACAAGGAATTGCTCGAGTAGAAATGACACTAATAATTGAAATTGAATATTAGAGAGAGTACAGTCATCAAAAGCACACAATGTGTATATAGTTGGTCAGTTCATTGAACTTGAAGGACTTTAGGATTTCGTCCAGACTAAGATAAAAAAGATTAAATCTTTTGATTAAATTCTGCGGTGCTTGCTTTAGTTACAACCTTCCCAAGCATCGCAACACGATCCCAAATTTAAGCACCTTGATGATCTAATTAGTTTCGATGGATTTATCGAGATAAAATTATCATGTTAAATGTAGTAAAGTAAAATACTGCTGTAAATAAATTATCTGAACTTGAATAAATTACTTTATAGAATATGATATTTTGATTTATGCGCCTATAATCAATAACGCCGTAACAGTTCTTGCTCCAGATATATATGGAGCTCACTGCGTCTTAAGATATCCATTAGGGAGTTTACAAAGCATGTAAAAGCCCATTTCCACTCAGGAAAATTTTCCGCGGAAAGAAAATTTTGTAAAATGTGATTGGACGACACAAATTTTCCGTCGGAAAAAAATTTTGAAGTTGAAAATGTTCAACTTTTAACAATGACATTTTCGGAAAATGTTTCTGTCCGTGGAAAATTTTCTTGAGTGGAAATGGGCCTTAAGACTGCGACATCAGGACGCCGGCTATCAATATGCAATGACATTAATCCTATAGCACAAAAGAAATGAATAATTAAATGTTTAGCACGGGTTTTAGACGTCGTCCGAGCTCTGTTGACAACGGCAAAATGCATATTTCCACGTCTCGTATAGTACGCTAGCATTTCAAGATGTAGCTAGCAGAGTTGATCAAAATTGCTGGTTTGAAAAAGCTTTAGGGAGAAAATGCGTTTCTCTTTTCAAGGATAATCATGCATGCAAGAATCGAAAACGGACAGCCTTTGCGTGTTGTGGTCAATTGCTTTTAGACTTTAAAAATTCAAAACCTGTAGCGTTCTTTAGTCTTTACTTGACAATTGACGTTGCCACGGATTCCATTATCTGGGAACATTTCAATTAATGAATACTCTGGGAAAATGCAGAGCATGCTTAAAGCCATCTACCAAATTAAATTTGTTTTCCACAGACGATGTATATAGCTGAATTTTAATGTGTGCATATAGTACAAAATACCAGGGACCGGCTGTATAATTGTAGTTAAATTTACCTATAGTTAGTGCAATCATGCAGAATGGAGTATTTGAGTGTTAACTACCATTTAACTACAAAATGGTTAGCTAAGTATTTAAGCCTTTATTCTTTAATACAACTGATCTCGGAAATTACTTATAGTAAATTATAATTATTATAATTTCGCCTCATTTGCTGCATTTGAGAAGAGTAGTGTTCCACTTCGTCTTCTTGGTTTCCTCTTGTAGTAATATGAATCGAAGTTCAAGAGAGAAGAATTTAGAACTGGAAGTGGTATCCAGATTAACGATATTGCTAACGGGGGAAGGATTACAGTAACCTTTACTATAATATTTAGTATCGCTAACAAATGGTTTTGAAGCCTCATTGATGACATGAATAACTTTAACCTATGTTTAAATATACATATTGTCATGGCGAATGTCATATAACAGGAGCATTCGAGAATTCTCTTGTGCTTAGTACAAGTTTTCTAAGTGCATGCTAATTTGAAATTCATTGTTTTATACATGTGGCTCAGTTTAGTTATTCTCTCATGATTGGCACAACTTTTTCTGTGTTCGATTCTTTGTCGCGTAGTGTTTCTGTGTACCTGTTTAAATACAGGGCATTGTGTGTTTTGACACGGCGTTCATTAACAGCACCTGTTTTTTGTCAGCCAATCAGGCTGCTTTTTGGGCAACGTGAAGATAAACAAACCGCGATGAATACATAATGTTTATGCTTGCTCTCAAAATAACATTGAGGCTTCGCAGTGGTTATCTCAGCGTTAGTTTTTGTACGATCCTGTGAAACAGGATATCATGAAATACATGGGTTCAATGCCGAGAAAGCATTTTGAAAGCATTTTTTGTAAATAACTAGAATATAATGTGCAGCTTCATTTGCTCGTAATGAGTCGTCTAGTCCAGGAACGGCACACGGAGCCACAAAAGTCCGGTTCGGATGGGATGGAAAGAATACGGCTTAATATTGGCGGCCAGAAACATGAAACGTACTTCAGTACTGTAAGGAATCTACCAGATACGCGACTGTTCTCCATCATCGAAAGTGCGGTGAAGTCGCCGGATTATGATCCGGAAACTACAGAGGTTTTTTTCGACCGTCATCCGGCCGTGTTTGCTCAAGTATTGAACTACTACAGGACCGGAAAACTGCATTGTCCCACCGACGTATGTGGACCGTTATTCGAGCAAGAGCTCAACTATTGGGGAATTGATGAGAAAGATATGGAGCCTTGTTGCTGGGCGAATTATACGCAACACCGTGATGCTGAAGAGAACCTGAAGAACGTGCTTTATGAAGGCACGTCGGAGGAGTGTGTAGCGGATACCTCGTTTATGCCTCAGCAATCTGAGATTGCTCGCCTATGGAAGAAAATACAACCGAAAGTATGGGCCACTCTGGACGAATCTCGTTCGTCCAATAAAGCAAGGGCAAGTAGTATATATTTTTTTATATCTACAGTCATTAGTGTGTAATACAAGCCCATTGCGACTTGCTTCTTCAATTTCACGCCATTCTATAACATTGCAAAATCCCCGTTTCAATCATTTTTTTTTTATGATAATTATTGTCAACGTACATATAATAATATTTGTTTAGTCTTGCAAACCCCGGGGAAGTTTAGAGTTAAAATTTAAAACGTATACACACACTTGGGACGATAATCTTCTCAAAACCGGCCATTAGTCCTAATCAAACAAGCCATTGTAGCTTGATTTCCGCTATAAAGGATAAATTATCACTTTGTCTGGAAAGGCAAACGGGAAAGTTCAGTTCGAGTGGTTGAAGCGAAAACTCAAACGTGTTGTACTAATGTTTACTAATATAACAAGATGGGCCAAAATCAGATAAAAAGCCAATCTTCATCGGTACTGTGCATTTCACACACCTGTCATGTCATGATATACTATGAATACACGTATCGCGTAAATCGTGGAAGAAAATTACTTCGCGGCCGTTACCCTTTGTGTGCCACTTTGCGGCAATCGCCGTATGCCGATCATATATTAATCACTGCATCTGCATGCATATGTCCCCCTTGCGTTAAATGTTTACATGAGCGATGCGTGCTTCAATGTTTTATTCAAATTTAACACTTCGCGGCTCATTTAAAGTGTTAAATATACGACGATGAAGATCTTTTGCAGAAATACTGCAACATTCTTGTACCAATCGTAGATTTAGTTTCGGTAAAAAGATCTAGGTGGCGTTAGGCTGGTACGGTTACACTATCAAAGTTTCTGTGATCACATGCAATATAGGGAGATAACCTTTGCATAGGTAAATTCTAAATTTTGAAGGATTTGAAAGAAATGTGGGAGGGAAGTACTGAGTGTGAAACACCGAGTCAGTCCCTTTAAACGTTTCTTACAAATGCTTCAAAAGCTAGAGTTCACTTATGCAATTCCTATTGTGATCACAGAAAACCAGCCTTCGCGTTAATGTGCGTATAATTATATGACAAAGATAGAAACACAACTCTTTAGGCTCATGACTATAGTAAGTAGTACATCCTTGGTTTCTTAGATGATGACTATATACTTTCTCATGACTATAGTAAGTAGTACATCCTTAATTGGTTTCTTAGATCATGACAATATACTTTCTCATGACTATAGTAAGTAGTACATCCTTGGTTTCTTAGATCATGACTATATACTTTCTCATGACTATAGAAAGTAGTACATCCTTAATTGGTTTCTTAGATCATGACTATATACTTTCTCATGACTATAGTAAGTAGTACATCCTTGGTTTCTTAGATCATGACTATATACTTTCTCATGACTATAGAAAGTAGTACATCCTTAATTGGTTTCTTAGATCATGACAATATACTTTCTCATGACTATAGTAAGTAGTACATCCTTGGTTTCTTAGATCATGACTATATACTTTCTCATGACTATAGAAAGTAGTACATCCTTAATTGGTTTCTTAGATCATGACTATATACTTTCTCATGACTATAGTAAGTAGTACATCCTTGGTTTCTTAGATCATGACTATATACTTTCTCATGACTATAGAAAGTAGTACATCCTTAATTGGTTTCTTAGATCATGACAATATACTTTCTCATGACTATAGTAAGTAGTACATCCTTGGTTTCTTAGATCATGACTATATACTTTCTCATGACTATAGTAAGTAGTACATCCTTAATTGGTTTCTTAGATCATGACTATATACTTTCTCATGACTATAGTAAGTAGTACATCCTTGGTTTCTTAGATCATGACTATATACTTTCTCATGACTATAGTAAGTAGTACATCCTTGGTTTCTTAGTACATCCTTGGTTTCTTGGTTTACACTTGCAATTTCTGCCGCGATATCTATCGATATAGTGCGGTTTTCTTCTTCTAATGCATGTGAACGAGTATAGATATATGAGTTTATTTTTATTTTACAAGTTTTGCTGTTAAAATTGATAGAAATATAATACAGTTCGAATTCATGACATAAATTAAACTCAAATAATACTAGATGCCTGGAATTACCACACAGAGATAAATTCTTCAATAACGGGGTTCCAAAACACTCAAAATGCATGTAAAATAAACATTGAAAAGAAAGACAAACGTTAAAATGTTAAAAATGAGTTACGAATGTATCCACTTCTTCACATTCATTAGACTGAAGAAAATCGCACCTAAGCTTTAGATCTAAACCGTGGCAATTATACATATTGGCGTATGATAGACATTTCAAAGTTAAATAATTATATAGATGCAGCAGGTGTCAGGTGTTTTCAACTTTCATTCACGTTTGTCAAATCGCGCTGAGTCATACTATGCGCATAATGAGTAATGCATGTCCCGTTTTTAAAAGCAGCATGTATGAGTATATCTATATATCTGCAGCTGCATGAATCAAATATACGATTCTGTTGTAAAACCACTATCAAATTGTATAATCAGCGCCTTCAATAATAAAATTTAAATTGTGATAATTTTATTCGATAAAGGATTCTTGGCATGCATGTGTTTTTAGCATTCTTCTGAGTTTGAGCTCAGTTCATATATGGAACTAGTAATGTACAAGTCAAGTGTGTTTTGCTTTACGCACTGTTGGAAAGTGCTCAACACCATAAAAGTAGAGAAAATAATAATTAAGTGTGGGTTTACCTCAAAATCCTTGGTGCGCCAAAGATTTTGATCAAGGTAAGCCACCACAACGGTCTTGTGACGGAATTCATGTGATGTACTATTTAAAACATGAGCATGAGCAGTATTTTATCAGATATACGAGGCGAAGCCGAGTATCTTTAGATCTGATAAAACACGCACTGCGAATGTATTACATTGCTTCAAAAACGGATCTAGTAATTAAATTCATTGGCGAAGTAATTTTCAAAAAATACGTTGTGTAAGTCGACGAAGTCAAAGTTAAAGTTTATGTAAATCAAGGGAAATCTCTATCACATATAAAGATACGACACGCTTATGATTTTTCTTTGTGCATGGTTTCCTCATGAATTGTTAATGAGTTTTTGAAATTAGAAGAAGAAACTTTAATCGAACTCACTAAAATTTACCGGCAATAAAAATTATAAATAGTAGGCATTACAAACTGCAAAAGGCGAGTTAGATAAGGGATTGGCAAGTCCCAACATTTAATAAGCAAGGCGAACACCGCACATTACAACTAATTTTATACCCTTTAATAACAGAAAATACACATAAAAGTTCTCTAAATTCTAATGAGTAATGAGGAGCATTGCGTCATTTTCCTGGTCTAGCGATGAACTTCAACAAAATATAATTATATTAAATCTACGTTAAGCGTAAAATTTCATTGCTTAATGTACTTAGTAGTGTTTGAGCTACACTGACACTGTACGGTCAATGAATGTAATATGAATATATGTATACGCGTGATTACGCGGTTAAAACATCGATGTGTATTTTGATGTATTGTACGCCGTTTAAACGTTTCATTTTCGCAATAATACGAAGGTATTACATATTGTCATACACAGAACTTGAACAAGTAATACACAACTTGCACTTCGACACACTTCTATTGTTTAATTCAAAGTCATCAGCATGCAGACCACATTTATCAGGCCAAAGGATCGCTTACCGCACGTCAGTGGTTTGAGTAAAAAATATGCGGATTATCTAATACCGGTTGGATATTGATTCTTGATATTTTTTTTAAATCTACCCGATGTTAAATTACACCGATATCAAATACGAATCTCAAGTAAAGCTGATTAAACGACGCCCTGCAAACTTATGCGTATATGCATTCAAGATTTGTGGACCCGTCAATCACATCTTTCATTTGTTTGAATTCGATTGTTTTGTTTTTTCGCGTTATTGTTTATTGAGGTTACTAGCTATATATATATTGCAAAATATACAGAATAACAAGAATCAATATGAGTATCATGATGAAATGCTTTCTCTGAGCCTGAGGGGCTCAGCGATGATTTTTTCCTTATTTTTGTATTAACATATTTATTTATAGCATTTGCCCAAGAGAAACCCTCATCTGAAGGGCTCACGTTACATTTTCTTAGTTAAAAGTTACACGATCCAAGAATAAAATAAATACTCACGCAACATAAATTAAAGTGAATGAATGGTACTCAATCAGTCTGGCTTACAGTTTTACACATTCAACTAGAAAACGTTTAGTTTATACTTTATCAGTTTATGTGTTGCTGGATAAATTACTGAAATATTCTTATTTTCAGAAATATTCAATTCCGTAGAACCAAATAAAAATATTTTCCTTGTGCAAATCTGACAAGAGATACCAGTCATCGCCAAAAACTTGTACAGCACTCGACAGTAAGTTATAGCTATAAGAGCAGCATATATCCAAAACTGAATTCATGTGATAGGATCAAGACAGGGACTTTTAATACATTTGAAGTTATTTGATCAAGTCTATAGGTCTTCATATTGATCAGAATCTCTCATAGACTGTCCGGACCTGTCAACTCTCCCGGTGCTGCCGGGAGACTCCCGGTTTTGACCTTTTCCTCCCGGTATTAAGGTATTTTTCTCCCGGTTGCTTGTTTTAATTGTTATGAGGTAATGGAATGTTTTCCAGATTCAAATATCTGGCACCAAGCTGAAACTTACTCCATGAACTACATGAGTGTTCGGCTTTTTTATCCACTTTCATACTATAACTGGAAGTGATAAGTGGATTATTGTAAGGATATGAGATGTAACGTGGGATCTCGAAAACTAGTTGCATTCGTGCCATGTTAGCATTAAATTAAATTAAACAAGTTGTTGAAGCGAATGCAATTATAATGATTATAAAGCCGGGAAAATGATTAGAATTTTTTACTGTTTTGAACACCGCATATGACTTTAATTTTTCTCTCCCAGTTTTTGATAAAATCTCACAGTTTCTTACTGTCGTTCCAATTGAAGTGTTGCTCAAATATTGATTCAATACATTACCTG